GTAATGCCATTTGGTTTCTGTAACGTCCCCGCCATATTCCAACGACTAATGGACACCCTTCTGCAGGAGTTCATTAATAAATTTGTCATTATGTACTTGGATGACATCACCGTATATTCAACCATATTTAAAGAGCATTTACAGCATCTCCAAGCTGTATTTACTAAATTAAAAAAAGCAAATTTAAGATTAAATGCTTCTTTTTCCTACCCAACGTTAAATTCCTAGATCATGTTGTGTGAAGGGATTCTTGCTTGTGGGCGGGATATGATAGGGCCTTTGCTTAATCGAAGCTGCATCTCCGATAATAATATAATAGTGCATGTGATCTGTGTAGCCTAACCTATGGTCTGGCTATTTTTGGAGATATCTGTGGCAAATATCTCATAATTTTGCACAAGCAAATCTTGGGCAGCCTTCTTTTGTTCAGAGGTAACCTCCTGCTCTACATTGAATTCGGGTTTCCTTGGGGCCATGGGATTATTGTTGGATATTTCAGTAAGGTATATTGCCGGGTTGTCCTGATTAATACTTACTTCTTGTTCCCAAGGGTTGTAATACAGGTCTTCATCTGAGTTGACGGCTAATTCATCGGAGAAGAACATTTCTAGTTCTTCCTCTTTGTCTAATTTATCAATCCATTGCTCATCGTCATCATTTTCGTCAATTGGTAATAGCAGTAGATGTATAATGTGAATAGTGTTTATGGTGGCTTGTTTGCCTAAAGATCTAATGTGTAAGGTATGTTTTCCAAAATCTAGAGTGGCTCTAGATTTGGTGAACTAGTCAGTTCATAACAGCAGAGTTTCATCTATAGATTCGATTACTTGGAGGTCTATGGATATAATGATGTCCTGTAGGACTATCCTCATATTTTCGACTATACTAAGAGCCTTAGCTCTTCCTCCATTGGTGATAACGACCACGGTCTTGGACTCTTGGGTAGGGGTAAGGCCCAGTTTTTGCATAAGCTTTTGGGTGATTATGCTTACTGTTCCACCTGAATCCAAAATTGCAACCACAGGGTTGCCTTTGATTTTTATGTGACACCTCATAGCGACGGTCTTCTGAGCTTAATCTGTCAATACTTGGTTCGCTTCGGTAGTTGGAGGCTTTTTCCTTCTCAAACCCTTTGCCAAATTTCGTTTTTGTTCTGAATATTTCAACATTTGACCATATGTAGTGTTAGCTCATATATTCAATAAATCTTCTGATATGTCATACAGAGCAAGCTGGTCTACAATCGATGACAGTTGCTTCTGTATAACCCTTTTAGGTCATACGATGGGAGTTGGTTGAGTTTGAGGTTGGGGTCAGGTTGTTGATTTTCAACATTCATCGGAGCAGTTGTTGACGGTTAAGGCCTGGGCACTATCTTTCAATAAGTTTGTTCCTTCTGCTGTTCTGACTGCTTCTGCTTGGCCTCCCTTCTATCCTTCGTATAGGGTTGGTTTCTAGGGTTCTGGGAGACATACACCATTTTCTCTTCATCCTAGTTATCATAATACTCTTCTATATCAGCGTAGCTAATGTTTCGTCGTCGAAAAGAATTGGGGTACATATATCAGGGTGGAGGTAGGGATGGCAAAAAACATGTTTTTTATTTTCTTATGTTTTAAAACATGTTTTAAAACATGTTTTAAACTATTTTTTGTATTTTTTATTAAATAATAAAAAAATTTATACTTTATAAATACAGTTTTTTAAGTATTTAATATGAAAAATATCAAAATACACTAGTAGTATTTGATATACATATATTTTTGCTATGAAATTTAGAGTAAAATGCATTAGTGATATTTGACACCATATATATTTTTTGCTATGAAATTTAGAGTTAAAGTAGAGTTATAAGGTTAGATATAAAGGTTCAAATTTTGGTTAGTATAAGGATTTGAAGATTTTGAACATTTTTATTTAATACATCTGACTTTAGTTTTTAGTCAATTGTTTAAAATTTAATAATTGTATTATTAAATATTACTAGTGCATTTTAATAAACTTGTATTATAAAGTTTAAGAATTTTTTAGATATCAGAAGGATTAATAAAAATTTTTAACCTATTGTTTACTTTTATTGTGAAGAGTTTTATATATTATATGATTAAAATTCTATACTATGATTAGTTTATAAATAAATATTGTTTTTTATTGTTTTTTATTAAAAAATTTAGATGTTTTAAAACATTTAAAACATGTTTTAAAACAGGTTGTTTTAAAACATTTGTTATCCTTAGTTACAAGGTCTTGAGTTTTTCTAGTTACAATGATAGTTGCCGAATCTGTTTTTCTAAAATCTAATTTTTCACCTTCTGTGAGAATTGAACTTATATTCTACTGCTTGGGTATGCGACAACTTCACCACTTCACTAAGTCACCACACTCTTATATTATGTAATATCTGTTACTACTCTTAGATCAATTTTTTTAAAAAATTTATATGTATGTATATAACTTTATATATATACAGTATATTAAAAATAAGAATTTCTCAAATCTAAAGAATTATGACCACCAATTATCTTTTCTAAATCAGAAACTTTAATTATTTCAAGGATTATGTTACTAGAATTTATTTGCAACAAAATTATCATAATCAAATCTATTGCATGATGCTTGATAAGTAAATGTAAATATTTTATATACTGTATTAGGAAAAAAAATTTTTGTTGTGTAAAATAATTACAGTCAAGGCATATTTTTAATATGGTCATTGTTAAAATCTGCACCTTATTTAAAAATAATCAGCAGTTAGATGATTCTAGATTTTATTCGAATTTTGACTATTGTAAAATTTGAAGTCTTAGTTTGAAAATATAAGCCTAATCAAAATCCACTTATACTCTTTTATTAATGATTCTAACCCTAAATCCTAACTTAACAATAAAAAAAAAAGATTTTATAGAATTTTATTAATAAAATTTTACAAATTCTTA